CATTTGTGGTTGATGAGTTATAGCCGTTCAAAGGTAACCAATCACACTTGCGTTTCTTTTGTGGGCCACTGTATGTACAAGAGTGAGTTTTTTTCTTATTATAGGATTTGTTTTATCAAATAAAGTAAGATGTCTTTCAAATTCACTTAAGCTGACAAGATTAAAAAATATGAAACAGAAAGACTTATCAAGTATTTGCAGAAGGATTTCAAATTAGAAGGCTTAGAATTTAACAATGACTTTTTTACAAAGCTTGAGGAAAAAGAAATCACCAGTAGTTTATTTCTCAAGCTAACCAGATGGGATTTTAAAGAATATAGAATAACATTAAGATAAGTATTAGAATTTGAGAATTATATAAAGAGGCTAGATGAGTAATTAATTTCACTGAGCTAGAGGGGAAGAGGGACTATCTATTTTGCATAATGTTATAGTTAAAATCTAACTGTCATTGCCTTTAGTAACAGGTGTTCAAAAAGCAAAAATAGGTTTAGGAGATGTTCTCGTTAAAAAATAGTATTTTTATTTGCATTATGTAAAGTGATATATTTGTATATAGCGCTTCTTTGCCAATTTTTATGTATTGTAAGCTGGCTTCTGACTACGTTTATTTCATAAATAAAGTATTTTTATTATTTTATCGAATGTAAATGAAAATGTGAGTCATGTGTAATAATGCAATACCTGTGTGATATAAAAACCTATATTAACACCCAATACTTTTCTTCCTGAACAGAAATAAATTTTTATTTCACTCCAGAACGTAATACTATTTTTTTCTCTGAGTCTATTATTCCTATAAAAACATCATGTCTACCTCAACAGTTGAACACAACTCTTACCTGGTTGAGAATTGGGATATAGAAATCCTTATCGATTTTTTAAAAGAGCAGAACCTCAAGCTTGACGACGATGATTTGGAAATACTTCACAACAAAAAAATTACTGGTCAAAACTTTCTTGACATGATCAAAGAAGATTTTCAAAGTTATGGTTTAAAAGAGGACTAGCTATGAGACTTGCAAAAGAGGCTAAGATCCTCAAAGAAAAGTTGAAATGTGCATTCTCCTCATACTGCAGTTTGAAAAAAGTGTTAGAAAAATACAGAATTAAAGGTAATAGTATAACGAACATCCCTCAGTTCATACCAGGTAAATTATACTTACAGCAACTTTTTTCGTCATAAATATCAACTCACGTATTATGAATTTATAGACCTTCACCTAATCGATAAAAGTTTTAAGGAGTTCAAGCTCTGCATAGATGACATTCTTCGTAGAATAGAAAATATAAGGCTAGTTGTAGATAGTAATAAGGCTATATGTTGTGAGTATATTTCAATAATCCTTCATACTGCCATCAGCATTCTCAGAGGATTGGTAATCTTGCCTCAGATGAATGTATCTGGTAAAGAAAGTTCTGGCTATGTTGGCTATACAATCAAGAAAATATCATGTATTCTTTGTATTTATTTTTTTGTATTGATAATAAAAATTTTTGCTTATAGGCTGTAAAGAAAATCATGTGATTTTTTTTATTTTGAATATAAAGTGTTTTTGTATAAAATTTATTGATCATATCTAACACTTAATTCAACGATTTATTAAGGAAATTAAATACTAAACTCTTAGCTAAGATTGCAGAGCTTAGAAAGGAGAATGCTGAGATCTCTGATCTTAAAAGAAAGTTAGCCAAGTTTGAATTAGAGAAAGTTGAGCTTAAAGCTAGGCTTACCAAAGCTTTAAGATAGGCTGTAAAAGAGAGTAAGAGACGTGATGCTGAGAATGTTAAACTCAAGACTAGAATTAAGAAGTTGAAGAAATACAAGGTAGATTTTTTAGCTGAGAATGTTAGATGCGATGTTGAGTTTGCTGAGTTAAAAGCTGAAGTAGTAAAATTAATCAAAGGCGCTTAGGTAAGGGATAATAGTGAGGATAAAACAGCCAACCTAGAATATTTCTTCTGAAGTAATTGTTAATGTATCTAGTATCATTACAGATCAATGTAATAAGGAATTCCATAAAGACTAGGTCACTTTTTTGCCATTTTGTATGAGTAATCAGAAGTCATTATAGAATAGAGAAATGGATACTTTTTTGGATGATATACATAAGAAAAATGTTAGTAATAGGATAAGATAATACAATAGGGAGAAGAAGCTACTCATGAATCAAAGTTATCAGTTAGTACAAAAACAGTCCTACTATTTACTTCACTGATGTCGCTAGAAGAATCTTTAAATTCAAAAACTGTGGAAATACTTCAGGACTAGTAAGAGAACAAAGAAACTTGATCATATAAAAAGAAAGAAATGAAAAATATTGTGCAAAATGTATTTGATTTCACCATTGTCACCGGGTTCGTTTTCGTTTATCTTAACGTCTAAGCTGAAAGGCTACGGCAGCTGATTCTACACGTTGGAGTTTCGACCTTAAGATTTTCTCTAAGTCCTATAGGTATTCGTTATACTTGAATCAACTCGGCAATTTATCATATCTTAGAATTTAAGATATGTTAGTCGAACTCGTAATGATGAACTCAATAGCAAGTTAGTGTAGAGTATCATAACAATCCTAGATGAAAGACAACGTTGAAGGGAAAAGTAGTTTGTGTGAATTTAAATTGATTCCTTTATTTATAACTTGAAACT